GGGAAACATCTAGAATTGCTGGGTCATAGGTATAGGTTTCTTTACTTTTATTAGTATTACCAAGTTGTTTGTTGTCTAAAGTGAGTGAATCAGTTTTGCATTTCTACTATCTATGTAGGAATTCATGTATCCTTACAGTTTGACCAAAACTTGATGACATGGGACTTTGTAATATTTGTCAATTGAGTGTAGGTAAAATGGTAGCTTATTTTTTCTACAATTGATTAGGGATGCTGCATTCCTTTTCTCAATTTTTCAGGACTTTCTCCTATGGTCATTTAGAGTGAATGGATGTTGAGACTGGACAGACGTGATAAAGAAGAGTATTCCTGGATACCAAGCTTTTCCAGGTCTGCCTTTCATTTCCTTCAATTTTGTCTCAGTGCAACTCTGTCTATACAAGTATAGCTTCCAAAATTGTTAATTCCATGGAGTGAATCATGTCCTTGTTGTTTGGTAATCAGAATGAAATGTAGTGCATACTGTTGTGAGCTTTAAATAACACGTGAAATATGCTTTCAAAATATAAAACATACAGAAATATTATTTTCACTGGTTCACTGAAGTTGCAAGGATCTTCTATGACAAAAACAGAGTGCTCTATGTAAACATGAATATCAATTATTAGCTCTGTTTATTTATATTTAGTGCCTTTTATGTGCCAAAGATACCACAAATGGAAAGCATCGTCTTTGACATTAGGGAACTAGTTTGATACTTACAGCTGGTCTCAGTGTTTTTAAAGGCAGGCTTGAAACTCAGACCTAGGTCATGTTGTTTTCCTGATGGACAACATCTTGCAGAACACCAATGTCAGACAAGTCATCATGATGAAATGAGACAAAACAAGAACACTTCCCCTATTTTTTTTCTAAGTAGAGACAAAGAATGTTCTGTGTGCATATAACAAAGCATTATTATTTAATAAAGACATAGAAGCCATTATGATTAAGCTTAGTTTTTTTTTATTTCTTAAACTTTATTTGGAGATAATTGTTGATGCACATGCAGTAGTAAGAAATAATCAAAGAAATTTTCTGTATACTTTACCAGGTTCACCAATGGCAACATCTTAAAAAATTATAGTACAAAACAACATATTAATAAGTTTTTTTAATATAGAAAAGAAGAAAATTTATTCTGTACTTAAGATTTGTGTTGTAAAATGAGCTCTTAACCCTTCCATTTATTCCTTTAAGAATTAGGTAATTTCTCAGTGTGCTGGCACATGCCAGTAATCCCAGTGTTTTGGGAGGCTGAGGCAAAACGATAGTGAGATCAAAGCCAGCCTCAGCAACTTAGCAAGGCCTGAGTAACTCAGAGAGACCCTGTCTCTGAATAAAATATTTAAAAAAGGGCTGGGGATGTGGGTCAGTGGTTAAGCACTCATGGGTTCAATCTCTGGTACCAAAAAAAATTAGGTAATTTTTTCAGTCTAAATAATTCATAAGAGACAGGCACAGTTGTGCACACTTGTAGTCCCAGCTGCTTGGAAGGCAGAAGCAGGAGGAATCCCTTGAGCCTAGAAGTTCAAGGTCAGCTTAGGTAACACAGGAAGACTCGTGTTTATAATTAATAAGTTAAAAATAATATTTTTATAGTATCCATAATATTTTATAGGCAATTTTCTATTAAATACAGTATCACAGTTTTAATACTATAGTGTTAATTGACAGAAATAACATATAAAACCAGAGTATAGTAGCTCTTCATATTTTTACAAGTATCTCTTTTAGGCTTCTAAAACTTAGCATGTTTAAAATTAGATTTTTAGCAAGTTCTCTTTTGGGCATTTCAAATTTATCATATTTAAACTTGGATATTTTGCCTTCTGTCCTAAGTCAGTTTTGATCACATTTAAATAAAAAAAAAAACACCTGCATTTTATTTCTTAGAGCAGTTTTAAGTCCACAGTAACACTGAACAGGAATTAGAGACAGTCCCCAGATCCACCTGTATCCACCCCCAACATGAATACATACCCTCCCCAATTAATATCCTGCATCAGAGGGATGCATTTATTACAAATGAATAACCTACATTGACATGTCAATATCATCCAAAGTCCTGTTTAAATTAAGGTTCATTTTTGATGTTGTCCTTCCTTCCTTTTTTCCTCCCTTCCTCTCTTCCTTCCTTTCTCCCTTTCACCCTTTCTCTGTTTTTCCCTTTCTTCCTGCGTTTTGGGTTAAAAGCTCCTATAGTTGATTCCAGCAGAACAGACCAAACTGGGGTACTCATATTCAAACCAAATTTTGAAATGGGCTAGTTCTTGAATAAAAATTAAGAGATTCATAGCAACTAATGAGAAGGAACCAGTTTACCTGAGATGGCATGCTAAGAAAGTTTCCTCCATTTTTACCCTATAAAGAATATGGAAATGATCAGTTAGCCTTTTGTTCTTCATTTTCACTTTCTTCCAAAACAGACAAAATCTTTTGTTCAGTTTATTGGAACACTCATTTTAATGGATACAATGAGGTGTTGGTCTTATTCTAGAATTGTAAAAATAGGCCAATAAGATCTTTAAACTAATATTGTTATTTTGTCTTTTGATACCAAGTAGCTCCTCTCCTTGATAGGAATAATTGCTTTGGTTGTGAGTTATACCGTTAGCCTTGCTCTTTAGCCTGACATGGTGCTTTGAGTGTCCAGTATTAAATTCCAGTAAAGTACCCACCTTTTTTGTTTTTGGTTTACCCACCTTGTTGGGAAGCCCGCTGTCTGCTTTCTTGGTTTAACGCCATGGAGCAGTCAGGAAAGCGACCTTCTCTATCCCACCATCTTGAAACCACACTGACATGGTGCTAGATAAGATTTAAGATACCCACTCATTGAACTGTTCCCACTTCCTGATGGCACTTAATGCAGAGCAGTCCTCCCTACTTTATTCTTTGGAGTCTTCCCCAAATCACCTAATCAAAGCACAAATTCTATTAGTGCTTTCTAGCACCCTCTAACTGAGAAAAAATCATAATTTTTCATAGTGCATGTTCTTGCTCTCTGTAATAAGCCCAAACTTTTCCAACTTCAGTTATTTCTCCTGCTAGTCTTTGGCTGGAGGATACTAAAGCTCTAAGAACTTTATATATGCTATCTCACTTAAATCTGAGAGCACCACTATTTGGGAAGTATGACCATTATTATCTCCCTTATATAGATGGAGAATGAAAGAAAGTCAAGCATTATTTCCAACATCATATAGGTAGTAAATGTCTAGAATAAAACTTGCTTCTTGGTCTGTCATCAAAACGAAAAGAACTACTTCTAGTTCAAACCATCTTGCTGTTCTCTTGAAAGTTTCCCTAAAGATTAAGTGAACTTTGAGAACAGAGTTGGCTACAGAGAGTTTGACAGAGTAAAAACAAACATTAAAAAAAAATGCCCCAAATTAACTAAACAAAAATCCTGAAACGAAAAATCTGTGAAGATTTATTTGGAACCAAGGCCTGTTTTTCTGAACCTCTATGCTAATCTCTCTTGAGTACCTGGAATTGTTTCTTGTGCCAAAATTAGTAATACATGTTTACTGGCCCATACCACTTTCATATATTCAGAAGATGGATATTATAAGGAAATAGTTCAAAGGAAAAGATGGCTTTTAAAGAAAGGAAAAAGTACACTAATACATGAGAAAACTGTGCTAACTTCCTATCTTGACTGTCATAATACACAAAATCTTCTGCATAGTTTCAGTTCAAGGGCCTTTATTATATGCTGACAAATTTGCTTCAACTTCATGCTTTTGACCACTCTTGGCCTTCCACCTCCCTG